TTTTAATTCAAACATTGCCAAGAAAGCAGATTGACAGTAATGGAATGATAATAACCAGTATCGTTTTTTTTAAACCTGTATAATCTTAAGTCTTCAGCCTTGGTGGATTGTTTGCTCTCATTTCACAGGCACCTCTATAAAAAGCACAAAATAAAGTATGAGGTTAATCAACTTTGTTCTGTTACTTAAAAGAGAAATCAGTCCGAGCAGCAGGAGGAAGGATATGTGCGCTTCAAAGAAAGCGGGATGGACAAGGCACCACACACACATGTATTGAAATAATAGCTGACAAAGATCCTCAGCGTTTGTGTCAGTGTAATGCTCAGTGGCACCGAAAGCAGCGCCACTACCCGAGCCTCTGCTTTAATTCGTGCTGATGGGCCTGGGACTCTCTGTGGGCCGAGGAGGGCCCACTGATGCGGTCGGCAGTCGGCCTTAATGCAGAGGCTTGATGGAAGACAAGTGGGGGGGGGTTGGGAGGGCGGCAATCACAGCCAATGGGCACTTGCTGAAGTAAGACCACAGTGACAGAAAGCAGCTGTGAGAACTTTCATTCCCACTCCGCACTAAGAAAGAGTGTCTGAGAGCTTTGACAGAGGGGTGTCGCAGAGTCCAGATTAAATGGCAACTATGTGAAGACCTCGACGAGTGGCGGCGGGTGGATGATAGAGTTTGAGTAGTCAGCGGGGAAGTGATGTCATTTATGGGGCACTTTGATTCACTGTTAGTGCGTTTGGTTTGGATCCAAAAAAGTCCTTTCTGAGTCTTCAACTTTGCTGATCGATGTCTGCTTTTGTACATCAAGGTGAAAACAGATCTCACCTTCCACTCACAGATGGAGAAGGTAAATTGCTTCTTCCCCATGTGTCACAGTGTTTGCTCAGGTCAGAACCAGGGCTGAAACTTACTGTCAACATTTATCATTCTGACTTTTTTTTTTTTAGAAATACAGCAGTGCAGTAAAGACCTGCACTTGACAAAAACCATCCTGGGATTACTTTTGTTCAATAATCAGTAGAAGTTCAAGTCAAGTCTTTGAAAGCAGCGCTAGGTCCCAGCCAGGTCTCTCATAGTTGTGATAAATAAAAAAAATGCCATAAAAAAAATCAGATTTGATAGTCATAAAATAGGGACCTCAATAATTGAAAACATAATTGAAACCAATTTATTTTACCTTACTTGATGATTCACAGTGTTTAAAAATGGGAGTACTTAGCCAAATCAAGATTGGCACAAAACCTACATATCTCTTTTGTGCATAACAACCACTCCAGTCTTTATTTCTCCAGCTTCCATTCATACCAAGTATGTTCAGTTTAAAGCCACAATGTACTTTTAATATTTGGTCAGTTAATACATTCATTGCATTGTATTGGTCTACCTGCTAAGGGCTGATCAAGAATAGGACGATAGGAGAACTAGTGTCCTTGTTTATTGTTGTCCTTGTTTGCTGTGCTTTAGGTCTGTAACTGATGCCATGCTAGGCCAGACTTTGTGATGAGTAAAGAGAAAATTTCTAATCAGATAAAGGCAGATCTATGGTGTACTTTAAAGATGGTGTAATATAATCATGTTACAGATTCTTTTAATTCATTTGTCCATGTATTAACACTAAATATACTGTATTTTGGACTATAAGGCGCACTTAAAATCATTAAATTTTCTCAAAAATTGACAGTGCACCTTATGATCCAGTGCACCTTATGTATGATTACTTGTTGTGCTGACTCACCGATTTTATGTGATACAATGTGCTTAAAAAATTTGTTGAAATGTGTAAGTATGACTTTGGTCAGCAACAGAGCCGCTCCACTCAAGGGGTATTCGGAGCATTACGGTACTCTGTGTCACTACCTGATCGGCCTGTAACAGGAACCCTGAGCAGTCTACAAGACTGCCTGACTGTAACGTAAACTAGAAGTGCATTCATGTAAGGCAGCCTGGCCCCGGAGTACGCAATAGCAACAATAAACCAATCAATGCTAAATGCGCCTTACAATCAGGTGCGCCTTATGTGTGAACATAGACACGTTAATTCACAGTGCACCGCGTAATCCAGTGAAAAATAAACTTTACAGGATAAGTACCTTTGTAAGAACTTCTCCTGGTGGCTGAATTCCTTGGGGAATGTAAGTTTCAGAACAAGTTTCCCTATTTTTTTGTATTAATAAACCTTAAGACCCTGGTGTCCAAGACTTTTGTCAAACTGATGTTCAAATGACAAAGTTGCTTTACATGACAGTAAATTCATTACACTCATAAATTAAAACTCTTTAAGAACTTATTTTGGGGTTTAAGCCTCGGCTCCGTTGTTATATTAATAGGATATAATACTGAGCTATAGGTTGCTCATAGCACACTCTCACATAGGTAACAAATTGCAGTTGATGACATTTCGGTGTGTGTGCCATTTACCCCCCCAGGAGAAAGAGTAATAAAAAAGCCACATCTCCCTGCGTGGGACGGCTTCACTTTCAGGGTCAGTAGACTTTCTAAAGTAACAAGGCGAGCATATGCCGCCGCGGCTCCCCTTCTGTCCCAAGAAAGACCCAATTAATTCATCAATCTGTACACCTCTGTCACTGCCTGCTGCATTTGAGCCCCTCGCCAGCACAGCTCCATCCATTACCTGGCCAAGTTGTTCAACCCTCGCCTCCCCCTTTCTTTACCCTGCCTGCCTGCCAGCCGGGGTGGCTGCTGGGTAATTACACATTGCCTTGACAACACACATGATTGTTTTCCTAGCAGTATATTACTTCATTAGTACTTCGCAATATGCAGAATTTTTTTAAATGTCACTTTTTTCCCCCCGATCTGGACTCGTCTGTGTATCATAACAATCATTAATAACTGTCAGTCGGCAGCATCACTTCAGCTCTTGGGCCGCCTCATTAGCATGGCCCAGCATTTGTTCTGCGCAGAGGCTGATTATTTTCTACAACAGGCCAGGCCAATTACTTTAGTGAAATGGTATCACATAAATCACAACTTAACAAGGTGGCAAATTTGAAGTTATCAGATTCCAGGAGACACCGTAACTAATATGTCACTGTCACGAGTGCTCTCTGCAGGTATGCCTCCGCCATGCCAAATATATCATCCCACAGGATGGGAAGGAGAGGGTGGGGGCTTTCACAGGGAAATTACCATATTCAGAAAAGCACAAGTGGTACAAAAATGTAAAAAAAGCTAAAGTTCAAGTAGTCTGGCTTTGGTGGTGCAGCAGATAGAAAGAGACTGATCCTGCTGTAATGTCTTTTTTTTTTGCACCATAAAACATGTCGGTTTTCTCCTCCAGACCTCTCCTTTTACTCTTTACATGATGATGTTCATCCATCACATCACGACAGCTACATCAAACCAACAACAAACATGCAAACCCAGCAATCTAAAATATGCTGACGCCACACATACACACATAAATACAGACCACTTAAGCTCTGCTCTGAGTGGATTTTTTCCCCTCTGTTTAAACTAGATTTTCCATCAACTGGGAATTCCCCACTACCCCAGAACGTGTGATAAAGTACACTTCTGTCCGTTAGCCGCTGACACACGAGCATTCACGGGAGCCGTGTAAATGGGTTTCTGTTTGTTTGCCCCTGTTTTTTAACAGAAGCTACAGTATGTGCCGCACAATGACCGTTTTTCCCCTCGCTGCAAGTTCGAGAAGGATTACCTCTCACTAAAACATTCACCTCATCTTGATGTTATTTGCTCCATTTGTTTTCAGCACTGGCTCCTGCTCGTTTCTCATTTTTAAGTGAGTATTGAGGACAGATGGATGCAAAGTTTCTGATCTTTAGCAGAAGTTATGGTGGGTTATCTTTGGCTGTATATCTCAGCTCTGGCAGCGCTCCCCTGGTGATGAAGGATTAACCACCGCAGCTGTCTCTTCCCCAGGATGATGCAGTGTGCTGCTCCCCGACACGACAGCATCACTTAATCTTAATGTCCGCTTCTCCGGAGCGGCCGCACAGGACAAAGCCAATCAGCATCACATGCCACGGGGACGGACCTACAGCTTGGCCCTGGAGTTTCTCACCCTCACAGGCCTATTCATCAACTTCAGCCACACCAATCCCAGAGTTCCCCTCCTTGCAAACCGCAGCTGAGCCGGCCGGTGATGTATAGCACGATGAGGGAAGGAGGAAGAAGAAGAAGAAGGGGGGGGGCAGCCGAACACTTATCAGATTGCACATTATGCACTGCTTTGTGTTCCTGAAGAGGAAAAAAAAAGAGGAAGAGAAGTAATGAATGCACTCAGGCTTCCTGTAGCCTGGACCACCTATTTGCTGTGTTTAAAGAGATATCTGCTCAATAGTGCTCCAGCATTAAAGATGAGCCAGATCTAGAATAATGATCACTGCTCATTTAGATAAATTGCACTCAGGGAATCCATTTGTAAAGATCTGAATCCAGCTGGAAGCAGGAGAGGATAGAGGATGTTCATGTATAGCTACGCAGGAAAGAGGTATCCTATAATCCCGCACAGATAGGACTCATTGTGATATGAAAACACACACAAAAGGCCACATGCAGGACACATGGTACTCATCAACTTGAAAGCAAGACTGCATGCTCTTAATATAGAAGTCAAGATGCCAGTACATGAAAATGAAGCATATGTAAAACACTCAGAGGACATGCAATATCAAAGAACAAAGTGACAAAAGATACAGCTAATCCTCTCAAGTCAAAGAACAGCCTCTGATAAGCTGATAACAAAAACGCTGTATCTTTCACGTATCACGACTCTGCCTCATAATGTAAAATTATGCTAAACAATATCATGATGATAACCCCCTCGTATAAAAAGCCAGTTCTGCGCCAACACCAGCCATCAACCCCCGTTCTGAACCCGATAATAAAGAGATGACACTTTTATGATACCGTAATTAACAGCGCTCTAGGATGAAATTAAATCAATATGCCCATCTAATATCATTTTCTCTAGTTATGCAAATCAAACATTCAAAGGCCCTGGGAAAGTGATATGAATTGCTTTCACATTTCAGTTCACACATATTATCATATCAGACCTCTTGGGTTGATGACACCGAGGATGGGTTAGGGGGGCAGAGGGGGGCTTAACGATGTGAAGACAGAGGAGAGGAACTCTGACTGCTGATTAGCTCGCCGAGACAACAGGGTGATAATGCGGGTGCTCAGATTAGGACAACTCGACTCGTTTTAAAGATAAAATAAAACGATCAGGAGCATGAAAGGGGATAAGCACCTCTGCTCAAGAGCTACAAACTCTTTTCCGTGCTATCGTGACAAAAATGATCTATCAATCAAATTTCAAGTCATTTTTTAGGGGCATGTTGCCTTCGCTGATAGGACAGCCAAAGTGAGACAGAAAATGTGTGGAGAAGAGAGCAGGGGGAAGAAATGCGCCAAATTTGCATAAGAAATCTGCAAAAGTTTGACATTAAAAGCAGGTCTAGACCACATTTTTGTAACCAAGTGACCTGGCATTAATGCACCTAGAACCTAGAGAGGAGTCATTTTCTTGCAGGAGGCAGAAACCTCGAACAAGACCAGAATCATTGGTGGACATCTACTGTGGCTGCCTTGACAGTTTAGGCTGAGAAAGTGGGAAGGACAGTGGCAGACAGGGACAGATATCAGATGAGACATGAGAACAGAAAGGTAGACAGTAAGGTAGACAGACTTAAAGAGAGGAAGACAGAGGACAGACAGAAGGTTTTATGGATTGACACCAACCTGCTAATGGGACTGGAGATGGACATTGGCTATAATCCCATGTATATGTTCACTAATGCATATGTCCTATTAAAAAAAAAATCCTTAATCCTAAAGCATGATTGACTTACTGACAGAAAGATAAGCAGGGAGACAGACGTACAGACAGGAAGGACAGACTTATAGGCAAGAAGACATAAAGAAAACCAGACAGAGAAAGACCTCGCAAAAAAAGATGGACAGACAGGCAGGAGACAGACTTGCTAACAGAAAGACGGTTATACAGAGAGGAAGACAGACTGACTCGGAAAGGTAACGAAAAACAGGCTGAAAGACGACAGGCAGACATTTAGACAGACACAGAGGAGGATGGACAAACAGAAGAAAAGACAGAAGAGAGGTACAAAATAACTGACAGACCACATAGGGACAGCTAGACAGAAAGACAGACATGAGGACAGAATCAAAAACACAAAGACACAAAGATTCATAAACATCAACACGAAAGGACAAAAAAGACAGGAGTAAGGATGCAAAGACACAGAAACAGACCCACAGATACAAAGATTTAGGGACAGACATAAAGTCATGCATTAAGATACAAAGACAGACGCAATGACGCAAAGACACATGGACATATGCAGGAAACAAACTCAGACACAAAAAACATACGCAATGTATAAAGACACAAAGATGCAAATGCACAAAAGGAGACAAAAATACACAAAGAGGGACTCAAAGACTGAGAGACAGGAGGACAGCAGACTGACAGACAGAAATGGAGACAGAAAGACAGAGACACAGAAAGACTTAAATACAGGAGACATTCTGACAGACAGTTGAACAGACAGGTATCAGAAGTCCAAAGGCTTAGAGACGGAGGACAGACGGATGTGCAGACGGGTGCAGAGAAAGAGATTTACAGAATATACAGATAGGAGGAAATGCAGATGGAAATGTAGATAGACGTACAGCAACAGAAATAACAAACAAGTAATAATACCAATGACAATGGAAGCAGTATGACTGATAATAAAAGTATGACGGATAATCTCCTAATAAGAAAATTAAAAGAAATACGAATTCCTCAGGACTCATGCTAGCACCCTTGTTAGCATCCCTGCAGCGGAGGACAGGGTGAAAGTATACGGCCTTTCCCTTTATGGATATGAGACAAAAGGGAGGCTGTGATGGTGGAGGCACAGACAGGGCGAGCGGGCGGTGGAGGGGGAGCCTAATGGCCGTGATTAATGACAATGGGCCAGAGGAGAGCTGGGACACAGGCGCTACATATATCATCCTTTCTCATCAGTGTGTGCACCTCTGCGGCCCTCTTCTCTCTGCAAAACCAGCACACTACAGTAAAAGACAAAAAAAAAAAAAAAAAATCATCTGCCTCCCTACCACCAAGAAGCTGCTCGCTTGGTTCTTTACGGGCCTTGTGTTTGATGGCCAAGCAGGGAAATGACATGTAGAATAAGATATAATGAGTAAAGGGGGATGGCTGTGTGTGTGATCGCTCATGTTTTTCATGATCTGAATACTTCCTGCGCTTAAGTCACATTTCCAAGGTCTAATCTTCCATATGGAGAGAGATGAGTTATTGGCTATTTATGAATAGAAGTGATGATGAATGGGGCTGCATTTATCTGCATAAGTAACTCCAAGGGCTGGCACCGAGGTTCAGGCAGGCTATAATAAACAGAGTTTGCACTCAGGGGCAGCTCTTTATTTATGAGGCTCTGAGAACAGACATTATGTGGCCATCATCAGCTCCTCCTGTTCCCTGGAGGAGAGGACGGGAGTAGCTCCAATACATGCAGTAGTTTGAGAGTTTAAAGTACTCTGACCAGGCAGTAATCAAGGCTACACAGGGTTTAGTTATGACCAATTAATGAACTATCCTCATGGGAATTTTAACACTCTCTGGGAATTGCGGTTTTAATTAGGAGGCACCTCTGCTAAAGCTTTCGACGTACAAAAACATGGCAAATTAATCCCCAATTAACACTACAGGCAGATTTACTCTTTATGAAACTGCTTTCTGCATAAAGGGATGAAAATATCACATATGTAAAAAGGTTTAGTGTCTGTATTCAAAATGGAAACACCACATCCATATCCTCAACACCCTCCTGCTGGGCCAATTTAGTGGCCATCCCCTGAGCTCTGCTGCTTAGACCAAGCGGTTTTGCGGGACAGATTCATGACTGCACCAAGCGCACTAAATCTAAAAGTTAACTTTACAGCCTCTGCAACTCTTTTTAGCATGTGCACCTGATGACTATGTTGTCGTTTTCTACGCAGGTTTTTACAATTTTCTGGGGAATAGATGCACCAAAAAAGTTAACACCCACCAACGCTCTAGCTTTTGGTTTCTCCCTTTTCTGCAAACCAGTGCCTCGAGCTGTACTGTTACACTATCATGTCTGACCCAGTTTGATAACTGTCTTTTCAGCCGTTATCTTATGTTTCTAATGTCCGGTTATCATGACTGGGATCATTATTAACTTTATCCATCTAAGCAAGAGTTGGCCATCAGGTTTAAGACTGTATTTATTGTATAAGATAACTAGATTGGTCATTTCTAATGGTAGTTCCTGGTAAACATGATGCCAAGGATAAGGTGACCAGATGTCCCCAATTTCCGGAAATGTCCCAGATTTAAGTGTTTCATGAATGAGAACAAAAATGTTGCGTGTAGATTGGAACAACAGTTATTACGGTAACTGAGTAGGTAGGAAGCACGAGTAAGCATGTTGCGTGCAGTCCTGAACAACAGTTTTTACGGGGGGTTATTATGGGGGCGTGCGACACTGTGGCGCTACAGTGATAGTTTAGTTTGGCTAACTTTGGAGACTACTTCCAAACTGGCTTGTGAATGCTACTCAAATCACTCAGTTAATGTGTTGTATTTATGTTAACCTAAGTGTGTTCAAACATTAGCTTACACCGTTGTTAGTTGTATAGCGTTGGTACATTACGTTAGCTTTAGCTCACACAAGATGAATTGGAGTCGGGATTATAACCAAGTGACCCTCATCCTTATGCAATAATTCATCGTCAATGAGTGTTCAAAGATGGTTTTTACATATTAGTGGTTGATATAGTTTCATTAGTTTGATCATTTTTTACTTGTGGTGTCTAATAACATGATATTAGTTTAATTTAGCTTCAGCTTGAAGACGTAGATGTCCATCTTAACCTCTAAGTGGTCCTTGTTTTAATATTTTCGACATTTCATAAGATTGACATCCTATCTCTATAGAATATATTAAAATCTTAACATGAAAAGACAGATAAAAGAAAATAATGCATTGAGAGAACGTTCAAAAACTTACAAGACTTTATCACTTTTTTTGGAACTAGGCAGGGCAATTTTTTTCTTGCAGTGGGAGCTTTAAAACCGATATTTCTTTACTGACAGCAGGAAGATTTTACAGAAAAGAGTGATTTGAAATTGAGTTTGAACTTGGACTTTTTCCTTGAATTCATCCTGTGAATTTTCTCATCAAAAATCACACTCCAATGAATTCCTCAGTTGAACCACTTTGAACCTTCCTCTCTTCCTAAGAGCAAAACTGCTGCTTTATGGCTGTTGCCCTCAGTAGTCCTTTCTGATTCTGAATTTTCAATAGTTGTAAAAAAATAAAGCAAAAGGTTACTTGGCACAGCTTCTGTCATCTGTGTGCGAAAAAAAACAGTTTGTTACTCAGTATGGAAGTAAGCTTTTCACTTGTTTCCTTTTTCGGTTCATTGCTTATGAAACGCCTGACGCACAAACAAGGCATCTTGTGAGAAAACAAGCCGTCTTTTGTCTTACCAACTGTTTTCACTATTTTCCATGGCTGCTGCGTATAATTAATATCTCAGCGGTGCCGGGGGTTGTCATTTTTCAAATGGTTTCCCTGGAAATGTTCTACACCTCTTAATGGCCCTGCTAATGCTGTAGCTGTCATGTCTTGGACAGCTGCACTTTTACAAGACAAACTCAGCTGTGCCACGGGCCTCTCTGTGGACTTCCTCACTCAGAGGCTTAGAGGCTGCTGCTGCCAGCTGGTGATAGTACACATAACATTTGATTAATCTTTACCTCGTGCCCATGACTGGCGAGTCACCTTCCAACGGTGTCCCTGGCGTACTGAATACTTCTGCTGGTTTCTGATGGATGGCAGAGCAGCCAAATGGCCCCAAATACAAATGAAACCAGATGACCACTTACAGGTGGCCTCCAGTGAGGCGAGCCAGTGAGCTGAAAAGGTTTAGAGGGCAGTTTATGAATTAGAAGACGATAAAGCACGATATTCATAGGATTTGTTGGAAATCAACCTTTGAGAATTGAACTACAACTATGATGTTTTACGGTCTCGATGTTGTTAGGGATCACAGGACAGCATTTAGGGTCCTAAACTGACAAAAAAAAGGAGAGATACTAAAATACATCAAAAGTGTGACAAATAGGTTTTCCTGTCTTTGTTTCTTTGAAATCCTCGGCTTTTTCTCAAGACAGGAAAGGTAGTCTTATAGGCACTTAGAAATCTTCTTGAAGAAAGACAAAATTATTGGAATATTTTCCTCAAAATATGCTAAATTTCTCCCTTGCAAAAGATTAGAAAGGAAGTTTGATTATTTCTATGTTGAATTACGACATCAGAATCAAGGAAATAGTCTAGCTTAGCTCAAAAACTGTACGTATCATCAAACAACTAGCGTTAAATGAATCTTAAAACATCAGGTACACTCATTAATAATAAAAAATAATAACATTTAGTTAGTTTACCCTTTTCAGGTCGTAGTATAGTTCGATATCGGACATCTCGTCTAGAAGCGTTGACTTTCCGATGTTTCGGAAGCTCACAATGTGTAGGTTTTCGGATCAAAATATTTTGTCATCCAATATTCTGTTGTAGACAGACATGCATGGTTTAATAAGTATGTTAACTGTGTCTGATTTTTCTCAGAGGACATTTTATGTTGAACATAATGGTAGGGCACTAGACTGTTGTTTAAAAATATAATAAATCTAATATGTTTTTTATAGATTTCACCTGTTTTTAATCACATGGATGTCTATATGTATTGAAGATGATATCTTAAGAGCATTTCGGCTCACTTCTGTTTAATAAACTTTTCCATTTGAGTTTCCTGGTAAGTAGAGCTTTATGTCTTTTCCTTGTTACTGCAGTTGACCAAGTCAGAATGCAAAGACACCACAGGGTAATTTGAGCATATTCTAAATGTGAAAATATACCGACATACTGTCAGCGTAACATGCATGAATGATTTAATTATGATAACCTGCAGAAAAACTTTATATCCCCTCCAGAAGATACTCCAAACAGACTGCATCTCAAATTCAAACACGACTTACTTTCAATTCACATTGTTCTGAAAGCACTGAAAAAAATCAGTGTGGATGTAAAATCACAGACTCTGCCTCCAACACTCACTCACTCACATACCAGTAAATGCTGCTTCTCGCAGAGGAACAAAAACAACAAACTTTGAAGGCAACAAAAGCCGAGCGAAGCAGAGTTCTTACATGGATTTATGATCAAAATGATCTTTGAGAAACCCTTCTCTTCAGCTGTCCTCTTTGAATTCGCAGTAACTGATACATTTGGCCTTTTCACATGCAACACATTCCTCCATCATATAACACGAAAACAAAAGCTCCACTGAAGTTGAGATATGCCCGTCGAGATATCTTAAATCACCATGATGTGTGATATAATCAGTGGAGGAGCACAAGTGCCGCTATTTTCTTCATTTCAAACACTATCTCCTTCTCTTCTCCTCTTCTGAAAGCAGATATTGTTGACTGTGCGATGGTTATCATAATTCATGAGGGTTCAGCTGGAGTTCAGGACAAACACTTCACATGCTTGTTACTTCCTAATAAGATGACACAGCACAGAAAGAGACGCTGTTTGGACCTGTGGATCATGCATGCAGAGGGTGTTTATGAAGAGCGATGGGATAAGGGTATAAAGGATTCATTGAACAGCTCGAGCCTCGCTGGAAGACGAAGTCAAATAAATAGTGCTTATGATAAAGAGCGAAGACAACGAGTTTGCATAAAAGACACAAACCTTTAAACCTTAAAAATGTCCCCTCTTTAAGGTTTTGGATTGGAGCTAGTTGACGTCTCCACCTTTGTTTGAAGCACAGCATGATGGTGGCCCTTCAACCCCCATTTTCCAGAAGCTTAGACCTGGTTGTTTGATGAGGGCTTATCCCTCAGCTGACATATTATCGCCGGACAGGCCTCTGACTGCGCCAGAAGAACAAGCTACGCAGAGGATTAGCCCTCACACTCGTGCTAATGCAGTCAAACTGTCAGAGAGATCAAAGCCACTCACTCCAGATTAGGACCAATTAAAGTAGGTGGCCCTACACAAATTAATAGCTGGAGCGCTCACCTGTTAAAAGCAGGAAAAAACAGCGAGGGGCTTTGTTCTCTCGGCTGAAGTGAGAAAATGTGGTGCTTTTTTTATGTGTTATGGCAAGCAGTCAGCAAACAAACTCATTTGATTCACGAGGTTATGTAAATCTGCACGTGTTTATGACTCTTGCAGCTACACCCACGTGAACTCCAGCCACCAGAAGTGAGCCGTTATGTCCAAATGCTAACATGACAGTTGTGATTGCCGCCTTTAATGGAGCAATTTAAAATAATTGGCACTTTGCTTGAAGGCCACCTTCCCATTATTAGACTTTGATTTGGCTTTTACAGGCCTGTACATTCTGCTGCACAGTGCACACACCCTGTTGAGTTTGGAGCGCCTGCCAAATCCATTAAAAGCCAGGCTACAGTCTAGAGGGTGGGTTCACTCATATTACAGAAAGGAGATTAGTCACTTACATTTGGCAGTATCTAGCCGTTCAGGTAGTTTGGTTTCAATGTACTGAGGAGATGAGATTGAGTTCCCTATTGCCACATACCATACATGTTTATAGGGACACATGGGCCTACAAACACAGGTATATTGTGAGGTGTTTATTTATCTTGTGTATATTGAGGGTGTGAATTGCTTCCTAAAAGGGCAAACATTGATGGCTACAATTCAATACAAGAAGGTTTGATTTGGTTCGATTTGATTCACTTCAGGTCAATATAAATTAAAATTTGAATGCCATTAAAGCTCCAGTGTAAAACTTTAGTTTTGTGTCAATTTTGGTGCACCCAGGGGACAAAGCAGTCTTAGCTTTTCTCATCCTCTACTTGCTTCAGTAGTATTGTTTGACAAAAAAAATTTCATCTGCTGACTTTTGACATTTATTGTGAATATTTGTATTAAGAAATTGTAAAAACAGGGCTGTTTTTTCAAGAGTTTGGCTGACATATACCCCCTCACACCAGTTTGGGGCACTAAAAATAAGAATAAAAGCTTGCTCGTCTTGTTTCTGATGGTCTTGTTTGCATTTGAATATTATGAAAAGGCATCAGTGTGCATCTATTTCATAAGTGTAAAAACATATATATCCTTTACGGAGTTTTGATATATGGACTTTGTAAAACACTGCTAGCACTCAAACAAAATATTTACCTTCCTAGTAACAAAAAATGAAACCTAAATAAATTGAGGTGAATTGAAATTTTTGAGTCATTTCTAATATGGGGAGATTTGAGAGCGACCAAATGCAAATTTTAAGATTTAAAAGTCATTCTCTTGAGAGGAACTTACAGGTTATGCCACCTTTGGTGCCCCCTATGGACAAAGTGGTACCTCTTATTTTCTCAGATTTTACTCAACATATAAAAGCAGTAAGGGTTTCTTTTTTCTCACAATACTAAAATGAAATTTTTTTTGTTGAAGTGAAAATGTTACCAAAGCCTGCTTGGACAAACTATTATGATTCCTTTTTAACACCTACCCAACAGCAGCAGTTTTAAAGAATAAAAATCACTGCAGAGATTTATCCAGCCTTGTTTACTGCTGATGGTCATAAAAGAACACCTAACCTAACTTTAGAGTGTTTCATAACTAGCTAAAAACTCCTTGAGGTCACATGAAACTCATGATGAATCTTTGACGTGACAAAAAAAGAGGCTTCAACCCAAATCACCATCCACCTTTTACCTCTACCAAACTGATTCTGTTGTCTCTAAAAGTAACCTTAGAAGATAGATTGTCACCACAATACAATAATGAAAAATTTAAAACATAAAGGTATGAACTTTAAATGTTCATGCTCACTGCCTGTACTTCTAAAAGACGTAGTGACAAAAATATGACTTCCTATTGAGGCAGCAGCTGTCCAGAAAGGGTTAACAGTCTGAGTTATTACAATAATGTGAACATTTCAGTCTGAGGCATCTGAACCACAGCTGGTCAGATAGGCTGCGGGTCATCTGAGGGCCAACAGAGGCTCTGCTGATCAAGGCCTCTGCTCTCGACAGGGGGATGAGTGATGGCTGCAGAGTAAATGCCAAAACTATAAATTTCCTCCCACACTGACCCAAAGCTCCTCTAAAGTTTATTTACATTTTCACGTCGCATCCCCCCTCCAACGAATGTCAGTGTCAGAGGATCTCGAAGGCAGGATGAATTAGTGATTGCAGCCGGTGTGTGTTCGCTCTTAAACACACACTGCCGGGAAAGTTAATTTCACTCCAGCATGTTCGTTGAGGGGCAGACTGAAAGGACCTTTCGCTGACTTGTCTTTTCTTGTTAATCGCTCTGAATCTCGCTTTGCTCTCAGTCCAGACGACTTGAGCAGAACCGGGTGTTGCATGTGTCAGAACCGCTCTTCAAATGAAGCTTTGTCTCGTAAATTACAAACACTAGAGGGGGAGATTTTTGCTTTAAAAATCCAAAGCTAGACGCCTCTTTATACAAGGAATATAAATAAATAAGCTAAGCACCCCACGGTTAGCTTTCCAATGGGCTTTGCAGAGAGCTCTGTTTGATGTGGATGCCTACAGTCAACTGTGTTTGGACAGTCATGGGGTGGAGCTGCCAGGCTTTTAACTGCTCCAGAGAACACAACCCACCACAGAGCAGCACATAGGAGTCCCTCTGTCCTGAGGCAGGACACGAACTATCAACTGAGAGAAAGAGAGCGAGAGAAGAACCACAGTGAGATTTATTCCTGCACAGGCCTGGAGGCTAACATAGCAGAGCGGCTAAAAAGAGTCAAAAAAAAAGCCCCGAGGATGTCTGTAGCGTGATCCTCCAAAAGCGTTTCATAAGGCCAGCACAGCACAGCTGCAAAAGATGAATATTACATCTTTTATTCAAAACATTTCCAAACACTTGTCAACTGCAGGTGAGGCTCCGCAGCCGACAAAAGCAGATTTTGTGAACTAAAAACAGATTTTAACTCTGATCTGTCAAAGCAGGGAAATATTTTTAAGATATATACACACAGAGGGGGTGGAAAGAAGTCTTTGCTCCTGCACTGTGGAGTGGGAGGCATGTGACGCCTAATTTGAGAGAATGAACGTGCTTAAGTTATTACTTCAGGAAGGTAATCTGTCAAAAGCAGTCTGTTTTGGCATGTTGCATACCGCAGCTGAGATCACAGAGTCAGATTCTGCTCGCAATTACAGCTGAAGGACCTTGGACGCAGGCGAGGCGGCCATTAATCCTGCTCCTGGCCCCGGACGCTCTGACATGTCAAGACTCCCAACTGTCCTCCTCCGTGCCACAGACCTGGGAAAAATGCACCACAAAACCACACCAGAGGAGTAATTGATGCCATCATTAATATAATTAGGTTTACTTAAGTCAGCAATGCATTATGACTTACTTTGTACTGTAATGTGTGGGAACTCACCAGAGAGTGAGGACCACAGTGGTTTACTCTATCAACAGTTAATTTACTGAGAGCATTTGTTCAGAATTCCTACTGAGCCAAAGTGGACTTTACGTTTTTATACTTCATATGTTTAATACTGAATTTTATTTCTTTAAAAAAAGGATTGATGGATGATATTTGGAAATTGTAACTTACATCCAAAATGCTCATGATTCATCCAAATGAGGTGTGTAAATATGTGTGGATTTACTAGGAAGAGAAGACCACAGTGGATGGCTCTATTAAGAGCTCCGTTTACAGTGATTTAAACTCCGTTACCAGCGTTACCGATAAGTCCCTCAGATGCTTCTTTTAAGAGACACTGTGGTCTTAAAGTATCATAAAGACTACAGGAATAAAAACAACTGAATGTCAGAATTAACAATTAACCAAACTCACCATAGGGGTGTTCACGTCAGTCAAAGGTTTTGTAGCTCAACCCTCAGTGGAGCTGGTTTAAGTGGTACTGAGCTATTCAACCAAAGCAATACGTCACCAACACAAGTATGTGGATGTAAACCTGAAAGGAGTAATGAAGGCTGGTGGTGCTAGCTCTGCTAACTATATGCTTTTCTCCCAATTAAAATTTTCTACGATTTTTGGATGCCAATTCGATTTAAATTGCGATTCTACGATATTGTCGATTTCCTTGATATTCGGTCTGCATTTTTAACACCAGTGAAACAGTTGAATGATTATGATTGTCTACTGACTATTCCAGGAACCATATTTCTCCAAAAATAGACATCACATGTTAGTCTGTTTTAAAGATTTATTCTTAAATTTGAAAAAAAAAATAAAACATTTTTGAACCTAAAAATCGATTTAAAAATTGTAAAACAAAAAAATGTGATACTTATGTGAATCAATTTTTTCTCCCACCCCTACTGCTAACTGTAACCACACTAAGCAAACTTACGCGACAGTGTTACCTACAAGTTCTTTAATCCCCTGTTAAGCTTTGTCGAATAAATTGGGCTAAATGAACTATTAGCCTCTATGGAATAACAGCAGCAGTGGCTTATGCTAGCTCGTGCGTGTTCAATGTAGCTATGTTTTGGACATTTCTTTGTATTTATTCATTTATTTATTTAGGGGTAGAGGAGGGCTCTGATGCCTCAGGCCTTGTTTCCACAAGATGGCTAAGGTGCACCTGAAAAATGAAAACTTTGTCTGAATGATAAATAGAGACCTATAATCCGTCATTATCGTGTCCGGGCAAAGTGTCAGATCCTGGGTAACTAGCTTCGAGGACTACAGTCTAAGGACACAGGGTGCATAATAACCACTGAGCCAAACAAGCTCTAATGTTATGAATATTTCTAATCCTGCTCACTGTCTTTTTCATGTAACACCTTAATTCAAGTGATTTATACAGAGTTACATTAGCATATGACACTCCTGTCTTCTGATAATATAAGCAAAATAAAACATCTGTGTGGATGTGAAATAATAAAATTTGCAAAATTCAACATGAATCTTTCAGTTTGTCCAAAATCGGTGTGAAAACTTTCTTTAATACTTCCTGCCAATACAGAGGACTGTATTAAACACAGGTTTCTTAGTAAACAGGGCTCCTTAGTCTATTCACTGTCCTTCTTGTTGACATCCACAAATGCAGTGACGAGAGACTCTTTTAAGAAAGAAAAACCTCATTTACCCTCTGTTCCCGTCACAGAACTGTCTTGTTTACAACACAAAGACTGTGGTTTCATCAGAGTGAAAGCAACACAGACACGATGAAAAGAAAAGGGGCTTCAAAGGAAGAGATTCATCATGGTGTGCCGCCCCTCCCACCCGCCCACTCCACACCTACACATGGCTGTGATCAGGTCATTTAGCTGTTTAATGTGCTATGACATTTTATCCCCACCATAAGCATCTTAAAGCGGTGTGTTATGCACAATTTGATTTCAGTGTCAGTAAACGCCCCAGAGTTTCTTTAACTCTCTGATAGGTTTAGGTAGAAAAAAGAGGAAGTGTCCCAAACATTGTTGACACTGCTGGAACATAAAGCGGAAGATGGCTTAAAAACTAGAGCCCTAAGCGGATGAAGTTAATTTCACAAAAACAGAAAACCCCCCTGAAGTTCTGAAGAGGTTCCACTAATTTCAAGAGAAGATGAGAGTTTGGGAGTTTTCATCCGCTTCATTCAGCAGCTATTTCACAAAAAACCACAAATGAACCTGTAGAAAACTTTTGCACATGAACTTTACATTCCATGACGTGTGACTCTGAGCATTTTGTCATGCATCCAAATATCCGCATAGAGGCTCATGTTATGCCCAAGCATCTGTGTCCGATCTGAATAACTAGCATGACTCCCGTGCAGATGGTCACAGGATGTGACCACCTCGTATCGTCTGTTCCCATCCATCTCCAAGTAAATAGCTCCTTTGACACCCTATGCCTGCTTTTTTGACAGAGGAGCCTCACATGATTGCAGCCATTTTGGAAAACAACACAAGTGTGAAGAGATGAGATGCCTTTTTTTTTTTCCACGTCCCAAGTCTCGAAACATCACACCGCAGTCATGAAACATCTTTGAAGAACTTTTGACCCCTGTGAGGCAGGCCGTGAGTCACGAGTTACTCCTCTTGATATCACTTCTTTGAAATCTTAATGTCCAGCTGCCCTTCTTCACGGCTCCTGCTCAACAGCTAAATCAGATTTATCACTACTGTCACAGGCAGGGATGACAGATAAATTAATCTTCCCTTCACGAGTTTACATCTTGGGCATCTGGACCGCTGATCCTGCCCTAACAAGCGCAGAGGTCTTGGTGAGCTGTCTTTTAATGTTGATGTGTTTGAGGCTGGAGATGAATGGCTCTGTCACAGGAATCTATTTATACAGCGGTTATATGGCAGCGCCACCAGATCCAGGACACTGCACTTCCCTGAGACAAGCCCCAGCATCTGGTGGGGGAAGTCAGCGAATAATGTCTCCTCTTTGGATTTGGAGGACTGTTCAATGTAATGTGTCAGTTACTGTGAAGTTAGAAAAAAAGCAGAAAATAAAGACTAAGACATCATTTCAAAATGTTGATAATGAAAAATGTATTGGCTTATAATTTACTAATACTTTGATGCTAGCGACTTGGGCTGTAATCAACCAAAGAAATTCTTGGTCGACTAAAACCCTGAAATTTTCGACCAAAGTTTGACTAATCGGGGGGTACGACTTTGACAGGAGGTTCTGAGACAGGATGTTACCTGTGAAATGGGGGTGCTCTGAAAACACCCCCATTAGCACTTGGTACGTTCCTCCTGATCAAATTAACCACAGACTGTAAACTGACACGCAAAAAATTCAATCATAATTTTGGTCGACTTAGCACGTATCGACCAATAAATCGCCTAGGCGACTAGGACTCTACAGCCCTACTAGCAAACTACAGGAACATCTCATGACCCATTAGGTTAGGTTTGTTCAGGTCATGTTAATAACATGACTGGGTATAAAAATGGCGTCTCAGAGAGGTTTCATTTCTTCCTATCAGAGACTGCATGAGCAAATAGTTCAGCCATTTCAGAATGTTCCTCAGCATAAATGGGCAAGCTGTTCTTGTCACTGCATTAAATAAATAAATAAGAGTCTGTAGTGGGAACCACTGCATAGACTCTATCTAATGGCTGTCTGTTGATGCACATGCATCCACAAATGCGGTTTAAACTGTACCATGCAGAGAGGAAACGGCTAGCGGACTGAATCTGAGTGCACTTGCTTGATGGCATTAACGCTAACTGGCGAATGAATCTTACGATGAATAACGCTGAATGCCATACACAAATACTAGTTTGACTTATGTTTGACCCTTTCTGCCCTGACCTCTTCTAAACCCTCTGGACCCTCATGCTCTTCATAATATGTCACATGACTTTGTCTTCTGCAGCAGTCCAAATTACTGACCACAAGTACTGTGGCAAATTGAGTTAACCACCGAACAATAGATTCAAAATCTGGTTGTAACAAGCGTTGAAATGCTTGACTCGTATTTGTGAGGACAGTCTGGTATCTTTTAATAAAACTGGGGGGAAAAAAGCCAAGTTGAAAAAATTAGCATAGTGCATTTAAGAGATTGAGATACCGAACAAGACTTCAGGCAGACAGTAAATGTCAAACTCAAACAGTCAAAGATGAACTTGTTTATTATGAAGAGGAGTTATGACTCAAGCAGCTGAAAGACAGGACCACCAGGACTGCAGAACCCAGGCTTGTCATTGTGGGCCCACCCTCCTCGGCACCTACCACACCTCCTCACCCCATCACATGAATCAGAGCCACCACCCTCCACTGCCTCTGCAACAAAAGATGCTTTGAGGTCAAGCTCCTCTTCTTTGTGCCCACCGCAGCGCGTGAACCGAGGGAGAACAGACCCACTCGAGACAAGGGCAACGTAAGAGCAGCTTAGAAAGAGAGGATGTCCATCATGGGAGAAGGAAACGTTCAAATAACATGACATTCAAATAGATGAGATTCTGAAGGGTGTATCGTGAGTAGTACTTTTCAGGTGTTGACATTACTACAAAATCGAATCGTTTGACCTCCTTATCAAAATCGAACTTGGGTAACCGTTCTTCATTGATGATAATATGCCTGCGATTTAAGCTGCACCCCCTTTTATATTCATCGCCCCAAGAATCCTCCGTGGGGGTTTAAAACTTCAAACGCCACCTCATGAAAAAGTCAGGAGGTGTCAGACATGTGTTCCCCCCCTCCTTGCTCCCCCCCAACAAACCCCGCTGGCTTGCCAACACCAAAGGCCAGAATTGATTTTATGTGAAGCAGGACCGGCTCCTCCCCCGTCAGGGATCACCTGCCTCACCCCCCGCCTGTGGCTCTGATGCACCATGAACAATTAAGGGAAGACGGCAGAATATTGACAAGATATCCCTGGTTTTCAGAGTGCATTTTCATTAATTAAGTATCTGCACGGGGACTAGAGAGCATGTTTTGTACGATGTGATTTCCTCTCTGAACATCTGAAGAAAGTTAAATTGTCACGGTTAAATTTTCTTGCTCTAATTCCACATGGATGATCCTTGTGTATGAGCTAATAAAGTGAGGTTTATGGAAGATTGCGGACAGATTATCAGAGGTAAAAGCACTGTCCTGAGACTCAGCGGGCTTTAAAGTTGGTCCAGCTGTGCATTAAAAAAAGTCAGCACGAAAGGTCATACAAGAGCCAACAGAGATAAAAGTCTGAGGTGGCTTTCTTGTATGGTGATCCATTTACGATCCCCTTTAAATTAAACATTCCTTCCTGTTTGTCTGCATGTGTTCATCCATCCTGGCCTTCAACAGCAACTCAGCGCAGGTACATTTCAAACCGTCAGCTCTGATCTGTGAGAGTTGTCTGAACGCAAGAAATTGAATATTATCTGATTAAAATCTAAGGTCAAATTTATTCTACAACTCTGGCCTCCTTAAAATCTGACTTTCTTTGATCATCTATTTTCTTGTGAGTATTGCAACAAAATTTACAGCAATTTTCTTCTCATAGAGACATTGCCGTACATACTGAATAATGACAAAAAAAGAGGAAATAAGAAAAGCAAACCAAACACTGCTAACTCTCTTAAATGATGCTGGGTATAGTGGCTTCTCTCAGGCTACACATGCTGCTCATAAAACCCTACTCATTGGGGACAACCCAGAAAAAATCTAAACGGACACACATAACATGCAGGCAACTACCACTATCACAAGGGATCTAAAAGTGGCATGCTAACATGTCACAGTACCGCTTGGCTGCAAACACATTCGCCAATGTGAATCAAATGCCCATAGTTCACTGGACCGAAATTCTGCAATGAACCTCAATCTGCAGATGAATTGTCATACTTGTTTTACTTTATCTTACTTTACATGATTTTATTTTCATGTTTTGGCGTCATTGATCGGACTCGCACATGTGAGTTGTTTCTCTTACCTGTTTCCTCTGTATGACTTCTGTTAACATTGTCTTGTTGTACGCCATTCCTCACTCTCTACTCCAAACATTTCCTTTCTCTCTTCTTTTCTCTGTCTGATCTAATAAAGGCAAATACGCCAAAAAACCTCATCAGTTTGCTGTTTGAGTCAGAGAGAATGACTGACTGGGGTTGGTACATAGTTACAGTTTATGGATAACCTGAAAGATTTTGAAAACTGGAAAAAAATTAGGAGCTTTTCAACCTTTTTTGTGATGTTAATAGCAGTGGTTCGGCACTTCCAAGTACAACCTCTTGTCACTGGTCTTCTTTGCATTTGTAAGGGATCACCTTGTTCCCTCTTTTACTAAGTTTGGCAAGCTAGAAATGTGCTTTTTAAGATGTTGACCATGTTTGTACAAGAAATTTATGAGCTCTGCACCTGCCATTTGTGATCTCATCTTTATTATATCATCACAGTATGTTCCCAGATCTTAGTAATCATCATGAAAATATGACACATTGTGAACTTTGACCTCAAAATGATGAAGTTTAAAATCAGCATCAGTGATTTGAATCTGCTGTATGTGTGAACGGCTCATACTCAATTTAAGAAATTCAACCCAAACTATAAAAAACCGACCAGAAAATAAAGTCCATAAGAGAGGCTTATATTTAATGACGTGTTTAAGTGCTGGGAACACAGTTTATGTCCCATCATAAACTATCCATTAAAAAATCTGCTTAATGCTGATGATTACAAACAGTAAGGGGCTGTGTGTGCACAGATTTGACAGGTTTACCTTGTATAAACCGTAAACGTGTGTCATATCCACTCAGAGACAGAGCGATATTTGTCTTCTGTAAATGACCTAATAGAAGAACCTTTGAAAAGTGAGAGTGTTTTTAGACATCTGGTGTGTATATCTGAGACATGACTTCCTTATTTTGAACAGTAGGCACTACAACCACTGGCTTGATGTCAACCTACCGTTCTAATGGACAGCCACAGAGCTGACAGGCCGTAAATCAGAGGTACTATGGAAAGCCATTAGTCCAGGGATACACAATAAAAGCGGTAATGGTCCCTCATAAAGCCTGCAACACCACAGCAGACATTCTGATTCTGTCTATTAAGGGCTGCACAGAGCCTCAGATGACTGAAAACCAGGAAGCCATTTTTCTTCTGTGCGTTATCGCCTGGGGTCTTGTGCTTGTGATCAATGTACAGCAAGACGTACTGTGCTGAGAGCTATTTATTTACTCTGTACTCCAGCTGAGTGAATATTAGAAGAGAACATTGTGATTAAGAAGTGCTGCTATTGAGCTAGATGTTACGGGCGGCTCATTGATTTACTGTGAGCTGGTTATAAATGCCAGATGTTTCTCAAAGGGCGGGTTACAGTACCGGAATAACAGTTTACACTAGTTGTTATGATGAGGGAAATCCAGTCCTTTAATTCATATCGAAGGGAAAGTTCACTCTACTTTTGCACAAATAGTTTCCCTTATGTTAGCCAAAGCTGGTAAAACCACCAATGTGGACCCTTTGGGGGCACCAGAGGGGAAGACTGGCCCTTTCTGGGTCTAAAGGCAAAAAATCCAGATCCTACTGCGAAAGAAATATTTCTTGCATCAGGCTGCTCAATCAAAATACTAGATGCCAAGAGACACTATTGCTAAAGATGCGGTTTGAAATGAAAAAAAAGAAAGACATTTTGAGGTGGCTAATGGGTAGCCCACGATGTTTCCTCAACCCCTAATAGTGCAGTTCTTAAATTTTAGCAACAACCTTATCCAACTGAGTTAGCTTGTGGTCTAAATGAGACACTTAACGAGTCTAAAAGAGTCAACATGGGACAAAAATGGGGTGACCATTAAAGTTGGGCTCCATCTTTTGGGAACTAAGAACATCTATTCCAAATTTGAAGGCCACTAACTGATGGTTACTAAGATGTGAAAAAGCTGTTAGACACAGCCGAACTCTTTCTGGAGGCAAAACTTTGTAAAATTGGATAACCTAGATACCTCATCATACTTCTGTCATGAGTTGCTATTTGTGTCTTCCTGGGTATGTTTACTGGTATTACGTTATGTTGTGTTGTGTTAAGGAAGGGTAAGGTTAGGCTTGGTTACTTTATGTTACTTGAACTTTAATGTCTTTTTCCTGTTGTACGCCAGTCTTGGACTAAATTGTCAGTTATGCCCTTAGTCTGTGTTGTTATTTTTTGTGCCCTTTGTCCTGTTGCATGCTTCTTGTGATCAGTTTCACCTCATCAGGGTAGTCTACCTGGCGTCTTTCCTGTGTTCTCTTTTGGTTCCTCCTAGTTTTTCCAATGAATTCCCAGTGGATTTTTTTAAAGCTGAATTTTCAGTTTGTTGGACATTTCTGGTTGTGAACCTTACAAATGTGAGTTTTGTTTGGCTGTCTCGCCACTCTCTTTGCAGAATATTAGTTTTGGTTGCCTTTCGAGGCCTCTGTGTAATTTTACTACCAAACCATGACGACCATTAGAGAGTCACACATTATCTTCAATCCCATTTTTAATGCTTTGAGCTCTGCAAAAAAATACTCCAGCAGAAATCTCATGGGTGGACACCACAAAGCATACAAAATCTAAATTAAATTTATGGATTGGCAGCGAACACGAAGTACTAAAGAAAATCAGACTGCCAATTGATTCTGACAAATAAATAATATGTTGAGAAACACTGCAGCAAATTTGGGGCAACAGATCTCAAATGCTCTGCAAATGAATGCTGGAGGCTCATGGTAGCTCTCTATGTTCAACATAATACATTTAATTACACCAGAAAACATCTTCTTTGAAACCAGGCCAACTTGTTTTTGCTATTCAATATTCGGACTGCAAATGTCTAAACAATTCCAGCCGCAATTTCACCAAATGGAGCCAAATTTCTCTTCTCCAGAGATAAGAAATTCAGCTGAGTGACATTTCAACAGGCTGTTCCCAACTTACAGCTGGGGTTGAACTCGCCTAGAGACAACGACAAGCTCCTCTCTGTCTGATGTCACTTCCCATTTCCAGGCTCCGACCGCTATCTTGCTACTGGCTTCTGCCAATAATAGCTCATCAAAAACAACACAACCCTTCTTGGCACCAAAATAAAGGCAGCGGTCCACGTCTGTGCCACTCAGTTGTCAATTAAGACTCCTCTTCACACTGACACTTGTGACTTAAAAGAAACAGTCGAGGACGTGATGAATTCGAGGCGACAGATGAGACGGCGGTGAGCTGCGTTGCGGTACCATAATGCGCTGGAGATATGGATAACAACTGACACCACTGGCAGGTCTTATGAAGTTTGATTTCATTTGTCAGGCCTCTTCTACTTTGTCTTTTAGCTCCTGCACGCTCTCTCACTCTTCAATCATGGTGGTAAAAGCTCATTTTGATAGCCTGAAGACACTCACACTCGCTCTCGTTTAGCATGCAAAGCCACAAATATAGCTGGTTCAAGTTGGCATAGTGTGTTGTATCTAATGCTGTATTGTACACGTAGAATTGCATGTGGTGCGTTTATAGAAAGAAGCTAAATGAACCTGAATGTCCACGGGGGTGTTCTGATCTCAGAAATTTCACATCACGGAGATGAACATGTATCACGTAAACCACAAATGACAGAGAAATAACCATCAGCTTCAGTATTTGATCGCTAAGTAGACAAATGGAGCGGTAAGTGTCCAAGCCTGTCTCGGCAAATACCTTGCATGCTTGTCTCCAGCCGACCACATGACGCTAATTCCTGACTGAAGCGCTCCTCCCGCGTATCCCTAATCCGGCCTGTGAAATGTGACAAGATCATTCTTTAGGCCTACTTTAGTCTGAATAATCTGCCCATCACAGACATTCATCCCGACCTGCACAGTGCTTCCAGTGTCATAACACGCTACCTGTACATTTTCACCCCCGGCTTAGGCTCCATAAATTAAATCTAGACGAGTAAATGTGAGGGATCAGCACTGGGTGTTGCACATGTGCAGAATAGTGAATGTGAATCTTAAACAGAGTGATCACAAACAAATACAAGTGTTTGGTGTCTTCTATTAAAAATGTTATACTTGCTAAGTTGCAGGATAGAGTTTGTACAACAATTGAATCTGTTATAGTTTCGTCAAAGATTGTTTTTTACTTATTAGTTGTGGTAAAATTTCAATTTTCTGAGAGGATTTACAACTTTGTTAAAGTTCTGGATTATTATAAATCAAATCATTTGAGTTTGGAACTCCTGGTTACAAAATGGATTAAATGTAATAAGATAAGCTGTAGAGAATCTTTGGGGGAATCTGGACATTCATTTTGTGGTTTGGTCCAACAATCATTGTGATTTTTTTCCAAGTCCAAATTCTTGTAATTTGAATATATAAGGTTTTAAGCCCCTGGTCAACCAAAACAAGCATTTTAAACTAGTACAGTTAGGCTTAATGAGATTCTGGCGGGCATTGTTCAACAAGAATTAATCTCAAATGTAGAATTTCATGTTTTTTTCTGTGTGATATTTTTGTAAATTTAATACTTTGGGAGTCTTGTCAAACAAAACAAGAAATTCAAGAAATTTTTTTGGCCTTTATGAAATCATTTCAGGCATTTTCTTGCCAAGAGTAATTTTAAAAGTCAAGATTTTATCCTCTTTTTCTGTATTACTCTTTTGAAAATTGGATATTTTGGGGGTTTGAATCTCCAATTCACAAAAAGACAAGCCACCCACAACATGTGAGAACTTGATTAGTTTTTCTGTGGGTGTAAAAACTGAACATTTGCTGGGCTTTAAGCTCTTGATGGACAGAACCAAGCAATTTTGCCTCATAAATTGGACTGTATACAATCCTAACCTGTATTTTATGTTACAGGATCCATCCTTAATATGAGGAACTTAAATTTCCTTTCTTGTACACTTGATATTTAAGGGTTTGAATTTTTGGTCTGACAAAACAAGAAATGTAAAGAAACTATTTGAAATCTAGGAAATTGTGACAGACCTTTTCTAGCTGTGAAATGAGCAACAAGTCAAGAAAATAGGACCAGCAGATCCAGAACTGATTTCAAGAAGATTTTGTCATGGACAAATTGAGCTAAGTGAAGCCACAAACCAAACTTTGCCACCAGTAAACATGATCGCACTCGCCTGTTTCTCCTAAACCTTTCAGACAAGTCCAGTACTGACAGTCTTACTGGAGCTTCTTGAAGTTTCCACAAAGTTGTGCGGCAGTAATATGGCAGATGTCAGCTTGAATTGAGCTGTTGGTTCCAGCTGCTAACAGGGAAGGAGAAGGTGAAGTTAACTCTTCTCTACAGCATGACTACAACCCACCAGGATCCTCACCTGCCTGATGGCAAGTGGACGACAGCTGATAATCTCCACAAGGCTTTGCTTCCTTACTCCTGACCAGCTTTAACTAATCGAGGAGACAACGTGAAAAAGACCCTTCACCGCCGCGATCTTGGCTGCACCTCAACTTTTCCTAACTGTCTCCGTCATGCTGACTTCCGGCGAGATACTGCGAGCTCTTGGTGTCAGCCATGGGTTGAGCTCTTGCAAATGAAGTCAGTATTTGACACAGACGGAGGGGGAGGAATAGAGGAACGGGTATGACTTCTAAGTATCTGAAATGTCCTGTCTTAAACACATAATATCCGTAATGCTTCCTGACACTTTCTCCTGTAACCTCTTATTCTGTGCCAGCTTCTGTGGGGCCTTTTTTTCTCCCCTCTCCAGGCGCAGAAGAAAAGCGAGTCTATTTTCTTGTCATATTTGGTTGAAAGGCGACTCTCAACTTGGAGTCTAATTTCCTGTACTTTAAAGACAGTCTGCATGCAAGGTGCATTACCATGCTATCAAGGTGATGGGGAGCAATTTCAAGCTGTCAGTCAGTCATGGAAATATCACAGAGACTTAATGTCTGCTGCGACCTGTCAAAGGCTCCTGTGAAGTGGCGGAGAGCATAATCTGAGTCTTATTCACTCAATGCCATTTACATGTCAGCGTGCCTCTCTGTTTTACTATGGATGGTGGTTCATAATGAGATGGGGATATAATATAGGTACATACAGAGCTACTTAAGGACAGGTCAAACTGCTCAGAAGGTTTCAAGAATATGTGCTGAAGAAAGGAGAACGAGAAAGCGATTCGATTATAAATTCTACAGTTTTAGCCTGAGTATTAAATTAGCTGCATCTCATAAGATCACATACTTCTTGCTTCACAGACAGCAGTTAGTTAAGGCTGTTAATTTCCCGATAGACGCACCACTCCGGGTGACACACTGAGGCCTGTACTTAACCATTATTAATGTGACAGGCCCCAGTGCAAAGCAAATCAATTAAACAGGAGCAATCAGTGCAGTCTGGATAACGGCCTTTTAAGACTGTTTGCATGTGTCAGAGGAGGTCCTGGATCTGGGGCCTCTGTGCCGGGACCTGACAGGTCAAGAAAGCGGGCGTGAAACAATAGCACCTTCTAACCATCATCTCCCCTTTTTACCTGTCACATCCAGTCGGCCTGTCTGGCTGCTGACGTGGCTTGCCCCTGCATGCGCCCGGCTGCCATGAGGTGAATTTTCATGTCACGTCGAGGGAATTTCTTATTCCATTTGCAAGATGTTATAATGCAGCACTTACCTTCCATACCCCGATTTTGGAAGCTATATGTCAAAAGCTTTTGTTCTTGAGTCTTGGTCAATTTTCTAACAATATCAGTAAGTTTTTTTTTTTTTTCTGATGTGTTGAGTGAACGTGTGAAAGCCTAAAGAAATCAGAATTTTTAGAAAGTAGGAGCAGCAGTGGGTCAGAGCGGTGACCTACCTTTGTGTGGTTTCAGCTGTTATTCTTCTGAAGTTTCCGACATATCTGCAAACGAAATAAAAGAATATACATGAAACATACACCTTAAACACTTGAACCATGGTACATTCGTGCATTAGTTCAATCAGCCCTATGGAAACCACCCTACATGCAGAGTTGAATTATACACCACACATTATACATTATATAACACAGTCATAACAGCAGCTTCTGTCACTGTGACCCTAATTGCAGGTATTTTCAATATTTAATCAACTCTTGTGAGGTACCTGACATTTATTTGCAGTGTTATTTCCTACACAAGCAATTAGTAGTGTGTGACGCAAAAGCTGGTTTTCAATTAAAATAAGACCAAAAAGTGATGAAGGATTAATTCATCTAACAAGTCAGGTTGTAAATAATTTAAAACATGACAGGATGAACTGAAAGACAACTTTTTCTAGTGCAAAAATGTCTCTTTTTTCATTTTTTATGTCTAATTTACACTTTGGTGAATCAGGTTTATATTAAATAGTTTATGGTTTTATTTATATTTGTTTACTAAGGCAAGTTGCATGTGTATGTACAGTATGTATATTAGTGTGTTTATATCTTTGTATGTTTGTAAGTTTCTTTGTCTACATTTGTAGATATATATCAAAATATATGAAAGCGCTTTATTGTGTGATTAAATAATTTACTTCTTCCATTATAGGGTTGTGATTTGTTACTTTTGTGAATAAAATGTGCTTTATGGACTTCAAAAAGTTTTTCAAAACACATTTAAATCATGTCTGTAAAACTAGGAAACAATTTATCTTAAGTATACATGATATATACAGTGTGTCTGTGTGCTGATAACTATCTATCTATCTATCTATCTATCTATCTATCTATCTATGTGCAAATCTATCATAAGGAAAGCGTAGTTTTTCTTACATAATTATATATTATAAATGTAAATATATATCATAAAAATATATGTGTGAGTCTGTGATAGAATATGTATAACCACAACTAAAAGCTGGACTATACCAGACACTTAAGAGTTACAGGTGGACTAGTAGACTAGTTTCATATCACATGATAATATTAGGAGACTATGTTATATTTTTAGGGTTGATAAGTAAATCTGGCAAATTGTCAATAATCTTAAATTAAATAAGTAAATGAGTAACATAATTAGTATTTTGGGATCCTAATCATTTATATATGTTTAAAATTTTAAGTGTTGTTTCTGGTGGATGGAGGTGTCATATTTTGGCTCTAGGGTGTACCTCACAATAAAACATGGCATGCTAGAAAAAGCATTCAAAAAAATTAGCTCTGAAAAAGTTTGACCAAATTTTCCCTATATGCACGATTAGATGAAAGTTTGTGAGGACTTAAAAAAACTGTAATTAATAAAATTTTTGTTGAAAATATCTCTCCACTGAAAATGTTCAGCCCAGTAGTAAAGGTTTGTTTTCCTGTGTATCCTCTCACAGGAGTTACAGTACACCTAAGCTCTGCTTCCACTGATTCTGCCTGATTCTAACCGCGTCCTTGTGTGAAATACTAGCAGGAGATTTGGAGCCTTTTTTCTGTTTAAAAGTAATGAATTACAGCGAAGAAAACGGGGGTGCAGCCATTTAAGGATAGAGCCGAGAATTTGGTGTCTGCAGCGGCCAGCCATCCATCACGTGCACAATAAAGGAGTTTTTGCCTGACGGTCTAAATTTATGGTCGCCCTTCTCTGCCCTAATAACTCAAAGCGCTGTGTCAGAGGCTGACAGCCGGAGCCGAAAACAGCCCCCCCTGTTATCAATCAAAAAACACTTGCATATGTTTAACTTTCGCCTGATCAGCAAGACATTTATAGGCTATTGAGTAATAAGATAAGTGGGTCTATTTCTATGGGAAGAAACGCGGAAGCTTTCAATGATTAATGGGAGTCACAAGAGGAATTTTGCGCGCTCTTGGAATAGAAAGAGGTGTTTTTTTTAGTTGTGTATGAAAGGAAGAAGCGTGTATATGACTAGAAATAAATACACTAGAAAAAAACAATTCAATTAAGCAAATTAAGGTTTTTAATTTGACCACACAGGTAGAGGTTAGGGCCTAATTTATGAGGAAGGGAGAGAGACAAGGAGAGCTACACATCACATCTCCTCTCCTCTCCACGTGGATTCACTTTACAGCGTTTGACCTGAATCTGACTGAGAAGAGGCACAAAAATAAGTGCAGACAGCTGACAGATAGCTGGCATGCAGGACAGGGGAACTGACAGATGACACTTTGCGTGATGGAGAGGAGAAAGTTGCAGAAAATGTGAAACATGCCGATGGATAGCTGTGCACGTGGGGAGGAAAATCTGACGAGAAAAGGCACACTTTTTTTTCTTCTATGACTAAAACCATCCATCAAAGGGTGAAAAGTCTGATCTTCAACAGCATTGGGGAGCAAAAAAATGAGCGTGAATGAAGAAAATAATTAAAAATTGACGCGAACAAGAAGCGCAACCGTGCTTTTGGTCTGAAATGCGTATTTTTGTTATCATTTATTCACAAAATAAACATTTTCTCAATGTTTAGGCTACTTCTATAAAACGCCCTTTTTAAGAAAGTCTCGTTTCCTCTTCTATCACCGAGCTGGCCTGGCTTTCCCTTCCTAAAAACCACACAAGATGTATTAGTGGCGCATGCGTCAAAGCGCCAATTACGCAGAGACGCACATAAAAACTCCGGATTAAAAGCTGCTCAGAGTGAGTGAAATGTGAAATACACCCTCGTGTGAGGAGGAAACGTCACATTCACTCGACCCCCCGATCACCTCGGGATCTCTCTTTGATTGGGAGGCGGCGCAGGCTCTGATCTGCGGACTAACTCAGATGCTGCTCTGGTGGAGGAGGAGGAGGCGGAGTGATCTCTCGTGTAGTCTCGTAAACCGAGTCCGCTCTCGGACCTGCAGCCACACTGTCAGAGCGACGCCAGGGTGAAAGCAGCGCGGCTGTGATTCACGCGGATTCTGCTCACACGCGCGTCTCTCTTATGAGGATTTTACATCTGTTGTCTTTGGCTGTACCCGTCTGACGTCTTCGTGCGCCGGCTTTCTCTTCCTTTCCACATGTATTCTTCAACCATTTCTACGAGAATTGGGTCATGATCACATCGCCCACGGTCTCTGTCCTGAGAAATAGCACGAATCCAGCGTGGGAGAGCGGCTCTTCGGGGGAGAAGGGCACAGAGAAGAAGAGCAGAAACCAATCCGTCCACAACTCCGTCTCTCCCGCAGACCCTTCTCGCCAAGCGAACCGTCTCCCCATCAAGGTTTTGAAAATGCTCACGGCGCGAGCAGGACACCTTTTACACCCGGAGTACCTTCAGCCTTTGCCGTCCACGCCCGTCAGTCCCATCGAGGTGAGAATTGAGGAGATTTTGGTGGAAATGTTCGCACACACAAGTATTTAATGGGCTGGAAAGCTCTCCCACTCTTCGTGTTTTCAGCAAAGTAGGTCGATGACTGATGTAAAACAAGATTTTATCATATATTTAAAAAATTCTTCGACAGAGAGAGAAAGAGGGGAGATAATCCTCATAATTATTTGGATTTTGAACCCCATGATTCAGTTGATTTCTGGTGTTCCAGGTTGTTTTTTTTCATCGGTTCAGGTTTGGTTTCGCTGAGAAATTTAATGACCTTGTTGTTGCAAATTGATGCTCATGTTTGACATTTTCGACGCGTGGCAGCTGCACAGTCTTATCCATCTCCTGTACACGAGCCCCCGTGTGCACATTACCCCTCCGCACGCTCATTGCGCTGAGTTGTTTTGAGTTTCGTTTCGATACAAGTTTATGCGCAATGCGTAAATTACGCGGAATGCTCTTTAGAGAGTATGTGCCGCAAAACTCTGATCTTTTCAAGTGCTTTTGTGGATTTTATTAATGGTGTTTTGTTTTATTTCACAGCTGGATGCCAAGAAAAGTCCCTTGGCTCTTCTGGCCCAAACGTGTTCCCAGATCGGCAAACCGGACCCGCCGTCCTCCTCGAAGCTCTCCTCCGTGACTTCGAATGGATCTACCGACAAGGAGAGCAAATCCGGCCCGCTGAAAATGAGCGACATCGGAGCCGACGACAAATCCAGCTTCAAACCTTACTCCAAATCATCGGAGAAGAAGGACTCGAGCGGCAGCCTGAGTGGAGATAAAACCAGTTTCCGAGTGCCTAGCGCCACCTGCCAGCCGTTCACCCCCAGGACAGGCAGCCCCAGCTCCTGCACTTCCGTGTCTCCTCTGCCGGTTGAGGGCAAAACGGGGGAAAAGGAGGAAAAGAAAGAGTCTGATAGCAATAAAAGCAACTCGACGGAGAGTAATGGCAGCCATCGGATAAGTGGAATTACCTCTGATGGCAGCCAACTCCAGGAGAACACATCTGGATCCAAGACTGTTACATCAGACTCACCATCTGTGACCTCCTCCTCCTCTTCCTCCGTGCTCTCCTCCGGACTGGTGGCACCTGTTTCCCCCTACAAACCCGGGCATACAGTTTTCCCCTTACCCCCTGCTGGTATTTCCTACCCTGGAAGTTTGGCTGGTGCTTACGCAGGTTATCCGCAGCCGTTCCTCCCTCATGGAATGACCCTTGACCCGACCAAATCCAGCAGCCAGCTCTTGAGCGCACAGTTCGCTGCAGCCAGCTCGCTGGGTTGCAGTAAAGCGGGGACGAGCCCTTTAGCTGGAGCTTCTCCTCCTTCTCTAATGTCTGCTAGTCTGTGTCGGGACCCGTACTGCCTGAGCTACCACTGCACGAGCCATTTATCCGGGGCGTCTGGTGCGAACTGCGCGCACGAGTCTGCGGCGGCTGCAGCTGCTGCTCTCAAATCCGGATACCCGCTCATGTACCCAACACACCCGCTCCACGGTGTGCACTCCTCGACCCCAACTTTCAGCGGACACCCCTTATATCCATACGGGTTTATTCTACCTAACGACCCCCTGCCACATGTGTGTAACTGGGTTTCTGCAAACGGACCGTGCGATAAGCGCTTTTCCTCCTCCGAGGAGCTGCTCAGCCATTTGCGGACTCACACGGCCTTTGCCGGCACGGAGAAGTTGATATCTGGGTATCCCGGCTCTTCATCGCTCGCTAACGCCGCTGCCGCCGCTGCCATGGCGTGTCACATGCATATTCCCCCAAATGGAAGTCCAGGCAGCGCCGGCACGCTGGCCCTCAGAGGCCCCCACCACCCCCTCGGACTGAGCAGCCGCTACCACCCGTACTCAAAGAGCCCACTGCCCACACCCGGGGCTCCTGTGCCGGTGCCTGCGGCTACAGGGCCTTACTACTCCCCGTATGCCCTGTACGGACAGAGACTGACAACAGCCTCAGCCTTGGGATACCAGTAGAGACAGAGAATTATACGTTTATAAAAGGAGATTTAGGCCACATGAGTTTTATATTGTACTTCATGCAGGGACTGGATCCGCGTGGGGATCAGTGTATTTATTTGCGATAGCTTCAAGCGTGACTAAAATAAAAAATAATATAACTTTGAAAAAAAAAAGCCTCAACTTGCATTCTTTTACACAGGAGATATTATTGTGTGGGACATGGGACATGGGACCCTTTTACACTTAATGGATTTCATTGCTTATGCTGAACTTTTGTTATTAAATATTTTTTTCCTGCTGAGTGATTCCAAATAAGGATGGTTGATGTTGGAAATCATTTTAAGGAATTTTTTTTAAGGGATGGATTATTTGCTTCCTAGATATCACTTTAAAGTTCTGAACATGGTGCTCTCTCTGTGGTGTGGAAATATGTTTGAAATTATTTAATATTCACCAAAAATTACTGTTCCACGGTCAAACCAAAGCAAAAACAGCACTGGGTTTATTAGAGGGATATGCAGGGTCACCACCTGGGAGTGTGGGCCCCTTGAAAATATCCCATTGGCCCCCACCATTTTACTGCCACAAGTACTGCAATATTTTAGCCATATGTGCAGAAAATCATCCTTCTTTTTTACCCTTGAGAATAGGTGTATTTTTGGACATGATCGTTTTAATTCTGCAGTTTTTTTTGTTTTTTTTTTTAGTTTTTCTTTTTTCATATAATGAGAATGTTTGCTGGGAGATAGTCACTGTGGACATTTTCAAACATAAATATAATTAACCGGTCCAATATTTTGGTTTATTTTTCAGTGTTTTTTAGCCAAATTAACACAAACCAAATATTTATTTATTATTTTTTTTTTTTTTTACGAAGAGTGAACTAACACGTTTCATGATCACTGGTTTGTACTTCCTCTTTCGTGTTCATGTGAGTGGATAATATATATAGTTGCAAACTCTCCACGGGAATGCCTAATTTTAGATATTCACCATTATGCAGATATTTTCAGACTTGTCGCTAATTAATCAAACTTATACACACCTTTGTTTTTCATTGTAAAGAACACAAGTCTATCGCATACTTGAAATTAACTGTTACTCTTATTATGACAGTGCATAATAAGAGTACAGACATTGAGAAAATGGTCACTGCTACATTTCTTGGCTTTGTCAGGGTTTTGTTGGCGCTCTTTTCAGACGATCTGGGTCATGTTCAGGACGATGGTTCTTCAAGTGCATGATTAAATTGGTATTCTTACATCACATGTGCTCAAGCAGTGCAAATGGTTATTTTACTCTCTGTTTAAGACACATTAAGAGATTCTATTAAGCTGATTTCTATGCCGTACATATCAGAGGAAATTTTCATATCTGGGATCACTTTGCATCCTTACTTTTCAGGTTTTTACATGTAAAATATCACTAAAGTGATAACTCTAAGGGCGTGTATCTTTATGTTTTATTAGCCTGTGTTGATAAGAAGCTCAAACACTTACAGGCCTTAGTGCCGTAGCTACAATATGCACCTTGTCCATTCAAACTCACAACCTTATGCTCATCAAAACACACTGGATCTTCTCAATCACGAGCTCATGCATTATGCTTCCATTAACAAAGACAAACGAGGCAGTAGTATGAGCGGGGAGCTCCCTGAGCAAAGATTTACGATGACACCAGATGTGGGACGTTTCAACGGCGCCTGTGATCGCTGTAATGAAGGCATGAGGCAGAGAGCATGAAATAAAGCGAGAGGCCTAACAATTCCAAAGCCCCTTAAAACAAATCAGCTAAATCAAGCCAGCAGTGTCATTATCCACCCTCAGTAAATCAGGCTGTTCCGTCGCCATAAAAGCCCCGTCATTAACGGTCACACGTCATGTTCGTCAGATTCACACATTCTTCATGCAGATGAGTCCTAAACACATGTGAGATAGATGGTAAAGACGCTCCTGACCCACAATTCAGCTCTGCAACCAACAGTTATAAATCCATGTAGAGCAAATGTGATGAATCTTTTTCATTTACTGACATTAGTGTGATGTGGACGAATGGGTTTTACATCTTTGGGTATTACTCCGCAATATTTTATAGATGTGGGACAAATTCACTCAACTTTTCATCTTAGACAAAATAAATCAGTGGTCTCTTAGATTGACAGGATATTTATACCTGACTAAACGGCTTGAACACATTTATTTAATAAGCTTATTCTTGTTTTTTTGCTGTTTCTTGTTTATTTACTTTTAATTTTTAAGGGTTGGATTATCTCAATAGAAATTTGTGTTAAAAAATAAACTCTTTTAGTGCTCTTCAGAAATAATCACTATCACTTGTTGCTGAACAACAGTTTCTTTCGATTAATTATCAAACATTTATTCAAATATCAAAAACAAAAAACTTACTCACAATTTACCTGGACCCCAGCTTGAATTTTAAGATAAGAAACGGAAAAATAGCAAAAATAATATTTTTACAACTTTTCACAATGTATTTATGAATGATTTACTGTAGTTTTCCTCCACATTTTGTCCTCACTGGGCACCCATAAGTGGAGTCTGATTGTCTAGTTAGGTTGTGAATTTCAGGATTTTCGCAAAAGTTTGATAAGTCTGATACATAACCCAGAATTTGTCACTATGAATGTACATCATTAGTTTGCATATTACAGTCAGTTTATTACGTCTGTAGATTGTAAATGCTGGAAAGTCGAGTCAACTTTAGAGTGTCAGTGTCTACAAATGTTCTTCTGTTACTCCAAGATGGAAACCAGTTTGAGATCATCCCCAAGTTTGAATTTTACTTAAAGAATTAAATGAAACAACCTTAATTGGGATTAGTGCATAGTCATAATGCTGTACAGCCTCCATTGCTCTTTGTGATATTGCAAGAGTGTGTTACTTTTTTAAGGTACATTTTGAGGGAGTATTTTTATCTTTGACAGATAATGAGACAGTACATGAGAGGAAAGGGAGTCGGGTACGAAGCACAGGGTCGTGGTCAAGATTTTGAACCGACATCAAAGACTTGAGCCTCTGTAAATGGGACGCACGCCATGACTGTTGGGCCAAACTGACACCACAGAAGTTAAAAACTTAGTAGAAATTTTTTCCATTCACGTTTAGTTTGACCAAAGCTCCTAGTACACTTTTAGTTTTCTTAGATTTTGGTGCCCCCTATGGACAAAGCAGTACCTCTTATTTCTTTGTGTTTACACGTCAAACTGTATAATTTTTAATGAAAACATTTTAGCTCTTGCTGTAAATCTCTACGGTGAAAAAACTTACAATAGACTTTTTTTGGCCATGTGCTCTCAGTGACTTCTTCTGTCACCTACCCTGCGGCAGAAGTGTTTCAACTGGCTATCTATAGAAATGGCAAGTCATGCGGTGATAGTCTTGCTCGCTCCATATTGATTTAAGTCTGTTTCATAGCCAGCTAAAATCTCCTCACAGGAGCTTTAAGTTTTGAGTTAACTCACACAAGTGGGTCATCGGAAAGACAATACTGCGTCAAATGGATGAGGGAAATTTCTGTGTCTATTTATTGCGTTAACTGACTCATGTACATCTGTTCTGCTACGACAAAGCCTATTAATCTCTCACAGAAAATCTCTTCTCCACATGTTCAAATGTAAAATACTTCCAGGGACCTGAGATAAACTTGACGTCTTTGTGGCTTCATGTTGAATCACAGTACAGCTCCACCTGTTCGGCTTTGAAGTTCAACGTGAGCGAGACTCTCGGCCTTTCACCCACGGGGGAAACACATCAGCACGTCCATGTTAGAAACGGTCATTTCTGCACAGCTGCACGCCACGTGTTCTGCTGTCGCTGGTCTGTTATGGTTAAAGTTCACATAGTTATGCACAAAAACCACCTTTCCAGAAATAAATCCATGCCTCAAATACATATATCAAGCAGCTTTCAAACACTTGTTACAGATGTTTTGGTCATGTAATGAATTTAACACCCTTCTGTCAGCAGTATTAATGATCCGAGCGAGGGATTTCCCCCCGTTGTTACACAAACATTTGCTGCTTTGAATAAATCGTCCTCATTGCTTATGTGCACTGGAAAGTCAGGCAGATCTCTGTTTAAGGGAAAAACGAAGACCTCTTTCATGTTCAATCAGCTGAGAAGTGTGTCCTCCATCATCCGGAGGAACGTGGGGGTTTGATGTTTGGAGGAGAAAAAGGTTTCGGCCTCTCCAAACAAGTGCCATATTTATCATCACTTCATCATTTCCTCTCATTTGACAAGGGAAATAAACAGAAGAACACAAAGTCAGAGCCGGTTTTCACTGAGCTGACCTTAAAGAAGGAAGTGAGCCGGGTACGCCGAGATTATCTTAATGTGGATAAGTTGTGTGTGCACTGACTCACAATGAAGTGTCTTTTTGAGCGAAAAAGCCGGCAGAAAAAGGGGGAATTTTCCCTTCGAAGACAGTCTGTCAACACACAAAGCGATGGAAAGAGCAACAGTGAGTTAAACAGTGGGCCCTTGTCTTTCAGCACTCAACATGCCCTATAATTTACACACCACTGACAGCGGCCATTTTGAAGTCTGTCATAGGCGGCTAACTTTTTTTGTCTCTGAAAAACGTCTTGCTCAGAGTGAGTCGGCCTCAGCTCTTGGTCTGGGTGATTAATGACTTCTGGCCTTATTGTGTGGAGGTGGCTAATTAACTACAGGCTGACTGAAGAGACATGCTATGAAAACCCTCCTCTGATAACCCACCTCCTCCTCCTCCTCTTCGTCTTGGCATGTGGAAGCTCTTACTGACAAATTTTGCAAGAAGCAGACAAACGTTGAGTAAGATGAATGGCCTCTGAGAGCAGTAAACAGCCTTTAATTTAACAGTGTTTAAATGTATGACACGCTGGCATTGTGCTTCCGCGCTGTTCGTGCTCTCCGCTTTGGGAAACCAAGCCAAAGTTTTCCCCCGCAGTTGATTTTAAAATTAGGCTTGGCATATTCGTGTATAGGGGAGTTTGTGTAGCCGGAGCTGGCAAACATGTGTTCATTGCCTCTTTAAGTTTTCTGCAGTCGCTTCACACTGACATTTTCAGACAAAGACAATCCGTTTCTATAGCAAACTCGTCTTTAAATGTACCGAGGAGGCAGCCAATAAGAACACAGACTGATTAAGTCATAAACAACTTTTCTGGAGCACAAAGACCACACTTTGTGGTAAAGTAACACCGAGCCCGTTTCGACAATGATATTGCTACAGATCACTTTCGCCCATATGGTTAAGCATGCATATGAGTAGAGATAGACCAATTAAGCAGTCGGCAAATTAATTGGGCCGATTACTGGCATGTTGCCATAATCTGCATCATTTGGCATTGGCTCTCACAAGAGCGATTTCACTAAGATCTTTGGAAAACACATTTTTCCAATCCTCAGTGACAGCAAATCATATTAAAAACAGCAACTGGCCAGGGTTTAGTGTAAGTTCTATAATAATGTATAGAATGTTATATAGCTATATAGCATCACCCAGTCTGTTCACTAATTCTTTAAAGATTCACCAACAGTCTGTTATGGGCTAAAATAACCATGTATATTACATTTTTTATGTGTTTGGAACTTGACATAACTTTCTGCTTCATTTCAACTATAATATTCAGCATGTATTTTTGTTCAATAACTTTAGATGGCGGGATAGAAAACCAAAAGACCCCTGTGACAATATTGTCCTGAGCCAAATATTTCTCTGTCTGATTTACTTATTGAAATGAGATATAATTGTAATAATTACAGACAGGAAAATTGATTTAGAGAGGAAAGAAAAACGTATCACCACTCTACCAAAGCGACAGCCTCCTGTAATGAAATTTAAGCCACTGTATAGGTGCATGAAACTGCAGTTCCTCAAGTGTCCACTAGAAGGTGGCTGCAAAAAGCTAAGGGCACCTCATAGGGCCCCATTTTGAAATGTTTAATGCTTCCACATATATAAATATGTTTACCGACTGGTGTTGTAAACAGCTTCAGTCTGTGCTGCTTTTCTTTATTTGTACACTCTGGGTGTCGTTCATAAAACAGGATTTGCACATAAAAATTCTTGGTATAAGAAAACTCACATGGTATTCATGGATACTGCAGAAAACTCTGATTTGATAAGATCATGTGCATGTTCATAAATGCAAAAAAAATCTTAAATTGACAGCATTATCCCACTAGTAACAATTCAGTATGTGTTCCTGCCCATGACAATGACTACCGCATAAATAGGTATGGAAATGCTCATCCTATGTACCAGTAAGCACAGTGCAGAGAGTAAAGGAAAACTTAAAGATGCAGAGACTGAAGTTATCTACGGTGGAGTTGAGCAAAGGAAATAGATTTTATTTTCCCGCTTTATTTATTTATTTACATTCGACTGCTCTCTCTAAAATCATAATATTCACACCATTCGAACATTAATTCATGTTATTTTATTGATCACATGCTAAGAGACAGTACCTCAGCGCCAAAAAACTAACAAAATAAATGTTTCCAGACACAGGATGATCATCATTTCACTGTGCACATATCTTTTGTTATTATGCATATGTTTTTGGCTACCATAAAGCCTTTATATCATGTGATAACAAGGACAGAAGTTGTTGGTTTTTTTACAGTGCTGCTGTTTAATTGTTCATTTCCTTCTAAAGATTCAGAGCTAACTGAGCAGAGTCATTCTGTAAATCAATGCAGTGCAGCTTGTGGTATATACAGTTATACCCATCAGTGTCATGCACTGTGATTCACCGGTGCATAATCTGCTGCACTGATCATTAATCAACCAGGGAGTGAGTCACTTTTTTACCATCTTTGTACATACAGTTAAGTTCTAGTTCAGTTATGTCCTCTCATCCATTGAGGGTAGACAGTTGATAACACCCTGACAGCATTCCCACCTCCTCTTTCTTATTCTACTGTACCGTTTAGTAACCTCTGTGACAAGGGGGATTAAAGTGAAAGTAGGAAAACCAGGTACTTTACTGCTCAGCAAAAACCCCAGACTCCTTACATGAGACAATCCCATGCTTTTCTGATCTAATTCCAGGTAACAAATGCATCATATTCAGACCATTATGATTGTCATCTTGTATGCATCTGTCTACTGTATGTTTCTTGGAAAGGATGAACTATAAATGGGAATTCCCCCTTTGTGGGATTAATAAAGGAGTATCTTATCTTATGATAATTCTATATTTAGCTTTTTTCCGCTGGGCATTTTGGTCAACGATATCTTAATCTGCCAGACAACTGCATGTGAAACTACCTTATGGTTCAAATCTCCTCATTCTTCATTATCACCATTGTTAAGATGCAGTGTTGCTCTTTTTGTATTTATGTCAACAGCCTAACTTAATCAAGTTACCATTGAACTCATTGGACAGTTTTAGTGCCAGAATTATAACCTTGACCTTTAAGATGAAGTTAGCATTGGGCAAAACTTGGAGACTTTTTTTTCCTGGTGAAATAAATAAAATAAATATTAACCAGAACTGTGACAATGATTAAATATAGCGTGGAAAAATAATGTTCTTTTAGGATGAAAAATGCTACAGGGACCCAATGTGGTGAAAAAATGCATAATGCCAGCTGGCAGACCATTACAGGTGATGGACATTTCACTTACCTAAGTCAAATCTACCAGACTGTTGTTCATTAATATACAGGAGGGTCTGCAGAATCCTGCCTGCCATCTGGTTAAATCGACAGAGTAATCTACAGCTCGTGATTAGGGCTGAGGAGCACGGTTTCTCTTTCATCTTCTAGAAAAAAAAAAAAAAAAAGTTTCCATCTGCACCGTGTGGCACATCATTTTTCTTTAAGACAAATGGGCTGTTTTGGTATGATCCAAAATTAGATCAGCAGAAAACGATCAATCTTGTGAAGAGGTCTGGGAAAATAATCAAGATTTGGATTCTCCTCTTGTCCTCAGCATCTCCACTTTTCATGCTTGACATGGACCGTCTTCCCGTGATGCCATCACATAGACTAATAGTGAATATGAACATTCGCCTTAATATAGTGGTCCCAGCTTTGTTCCCTGTGGTACTCCGCGACAGATGGTGACCCGTGATAAGACGTGACGCCAGAACCAAAACCGGCACCGAGGCAAAGAAGAAGACTAAATACTTCAAGTCTTCCTGTCTGCAAATTAGAGAGATGACACAACTGTCAGGTGCCAGCCTCCTCCTGTGACACCCCCACCCCCTCACTCCACACCCTACACCACTCCATTACAGAAGCAGCGATGCTTTCACTGCACGACAAAAGGGAAATGGGTGCATGTTTTTTATAGGAGACCTGTCTGTCAGCTGGCTCTCAAGTCATAACAAATCACCGGCACTCAGCTGAGGCTGAACATTCGGGCCGTCAGGAGGAAGACGGATGACCTGCAGGCCTTTGAAGTGCTCTGGCAGTTCAGATGGCTCAGCGGCGCTGACAGAGAAATATACACAACAGAGCAACCAATAATGAGAACATTAAACATTCCAGCCACCTGACAGGCTGACAAAAACAGCCTGGCCTCGCATCAATCATCCGCCGAGACATAACCTTGACAATTAGTCCCCTCTGATACTCGCAGTAACCCCTGGGCCGTGCACTGCAGTGTGACTCCACTTACCGAGGACAAAACCGAATGGCGCCATCTAATTTCTTAATTCTGATTGATAAAGACAAAGTGGTGATAGAGTCCTGAGTATATCCACTCAAAAAAAAGGACAAGTTCAGATTCAGTTTGAAAGCTTTTTGTAAAATAATGGCTCTCTGAGGATGTGGAAACAGAAAAACGCACATATTGTAGTTCAATTATTTTCAGCATAGCCTCTGAAGATGTTTCGACTAAGAACGCAAAAATGTATCCTGCTAATGTTTATGGTTCTGCCTGCTCAAATATGTGTTTTAATGATGCCCCAAAGGCATTTGGAAGCTATATAAATACTTGTAGCAGAGCCAGCACTTGGGTTTTCAATAGAAGTCAAGGCATAGATCAGCTTTAAGTGAGAGCGGTTGTTTAATGTGCATCTAACAAGGTTACATATCTTACATCTGTATCTGTGTAAACATGTGCTAAATGTCAAGGATGCTGTTAAAAAGCTCTATAAATTCAGCCCATTTAAAGACTTTATATCATCAATTTTTGATTTTTTTTAACATACTCCTTATAATCCAAGTGCAGTTTTTTTCCCTGAAAGCCCGCTTGCACCCTACTCTCCAAATCCAAAGCAGTTGACCTTCCAAAAAAGCAAGGGGGCCATCTTGTCATCACTCTATTCACTCTAACTATGTGGTAACTATATGACAAATGAGGCATGAGAAATGACGTTTCCCCTTTGCCTTCGCACCTGTAGGGAAAAAGCAAAGAGTCCGGCAGATGGATGGATGGATGGATGGCAGAACCTCAGAACTACTGTATCCCCCTCTCAAACAGAAAAGAGCCGGGCCGATTGCTGTTTACGAAAAAAAAAAAAAACTACCTGAAACTGAGCTCCAGAGCTCCGAGCCCTGAGGATGATAAATGGCTTTGCTAACCCTGTGGGACTGCAGACCCAAATGAGGACGGAGCTAATTGCCGTGCGAAAGGCTTTGGCATGAATGGAAAGCAAATGCAGGCGAGCCGCGGCCAAAAATGAGCCCAGTTGCCGCTCTGAACTCCTGGCTGGCTTTTGCTTACAAGAGTTCACTCGGTGTCCATAAATCATGGACTGCTTACAGCTGAAACTGCCCTTAGTCATCAACATGCAATAGACTGAGTGACAGATTCCATCCTGACTACATTAGCCCCATGGTTCAAACGAGGCTTCTTTTTTTAAACTCTCCTACCATCTCCAACCTTGCAGGAAATGAAAACCAGATGGCTGAGGATAGCTGTGTATAACATAAGGCTGAGCTCATACGGGAGAAAAGACACAAAAGAGAGAGCGAGGAAAAAAAAAAAGACTTTACATTGTTGAAGGAAATGACAGGGGTCAATTTGAGGTGTCTTGGGTTTTTGATATCTTTCAAATATGACTGTATCCTGAGGCTATGATCTGCAGCACATTACTCATTTTCAGCTGACAGGAGACCTGAAATGTGGTTTCAGTCTGTGTTACTCCCACACATGTGAGCACAAGTGCAAACTCTATGATCTGTCTCAGCTACATACAGGATTTCTGAACTCCACTCTTGAACTAGACATCACTTGGAGAGCAGATTACTCCCCCTCAAGGCTCAAAAGAAGAGAAAAGCAACGTTTTAATTGCATCAAAAGTCAGACCTGCATCAAAAAAAAAAAAAAGTCGTATACTGAAAGACAACTATAGGATGCAGCGCCGTGGTCAAGAAGTACTGGATAAGTGGGTTGAGATGTTAGGGGGCAACCCTCTTCACAGTGTTGCATGATTATTTTACAAAATCTTGGATCTGCTTCAAAAACTAAGTACTTGTCACTTGGCTCCAGGCCGAACTCTTCACAAACCCTTTGTTGAAATCATTGTGCATATGTCAAGGGATTTTTTTGCACTATTTGATGCTACAGGGAGAGTAGAGAACAGCAGGGTATTGACTAAAATGTCCATGTTCATCATTTTAAAAGGTGCATATCGCCGGGTAACCTAAAGAACAGAGACTCAAGATTCAAAGATTCAAGCTGGAGCCTGTGGTCCTTTCGTATTCACCAGTTTGTGGCGCAGACTGTGTCTTTACATTCATAAGACCGAATCTACTTGATTTAACAGATGAGAGATATCTCAATTTCGTTCTGTAAGATCATAACAGATAGGCAAAAGTATGAAAGATGGGACTGACAGCTGGAGAGGTGCCATTTTTCTTTCAGAGCCCTTGAGCAAGGCATTGAGCTGTCAAACACTAATTCTAGAGAAGCTTTCTCACTCTGACACCACTCCAACAGTTCATCTGGATATGATCCTGTTTATAGACGTGTTTATTTCTAGACTGTATGTAGCGTGTTCAGTAAAGAAGTGAAAAAAAAAATGGAATTAATTTAAAATCATTTACATCTGACCTTTTCAAAAGTTGGCTCACCCTAAGTCATGCAATACTGTTTTGAGCAAGTTTTCACAAAAGAACTGGTCTGAAATTACATTTGCTCTCTTTCAGTACCTGTTAAACATTTGCTTTTATTCAATTTCATCTGGAGCTTAATAAGCGCTGGTGTTGGCAGAGAGCAAATTTATCTCAGAGGAAGAAATCTAGAACAAATGCAGGCAGAAGTACCGACATGGCTTCATTCTGGAGGCTTTTATGTCAATTTAGGCATTATTATCACTCTGCTGTGTTAGACCCTTGATTCTGATTTCTCAAAACCCCACAGCAACAGTCGTAAAAAGTGAAACCGGGGACAACCAGTCTGTAGAAATGAGTCCAGCGCATTTAACCCCTGCCTGTCAACACTGTGGCAAAAACCAAAACCTTCATCTCAGGTTGGTCTTGAGGGAGCTACAGACTCTCAACCATCTATAAAAGAGGAGCAAGATCATGTGATGCCATCTAGTTAATGTAGGCAGAGCTGTTGAGTGCATCTCTGAGTTAATGACAGCTGCAAAGTCGCGTATAAATGAAATGTTTAGGGATATTAACAGTAGCAGCGTAAAAAGTTGTGACATTTGCCTTGCTGGTGTTTACCGATAAGCCTGCAGAAGTAGAGGTGAATGAGTTAATCGTGAATTTTGAAGAAATTAGCAAACATATGTCTAATGCTGCGTTCAAGTTACCTTGGAAGTCAGATGTCCGAGCTGGGAATGACGTCACACTCAAGTTACCAATACCAAGTCGGAAAAAAGCAAAATCGGAGGTGAAAACAAGATGGCTACATCTATGAAAGTTATTTTAGCGCTTGCCTTGTCCTGGCTTATATTCTGGCAAGGCGAGCGTTGAAATAACTTTCGTAGATGTAGCCATCTTGTTTCCGCCTTCAATTTTGCTTTCTTCCGACTTGCTGACTGAATACACTGGTAACTCGGGTGTGACGTCATTCCCAGCTCTTACTTCTAACCTAACTCAAACGCAGTATCAGTTTGATGTGATTTGAAATGTTCAGTTTTCTGCGCATTTGGCCCTAATGAAAGCTGATAAGAATCTGTTGCCATGGAAATGGTATGAACTATTTCTAATCAAATAAATGAATAAAATCATCTTTATATCAATATTTTGTATCAGCTTGTTTATGTCTTGATTTAACAGCAAGGTAATCATGATAATTTACAGTTGACAAGTGATTGTAAAAGTTGGAATCCCAACAGGGTGAGCAAGACACTGACACAAAATGTTCAACTTTATGAAGGTGGGATGGAATTGATTATATTTCGATGAATAAGACAATTAAAGGGGATTGGTTTTCCCAACCAAACCACATGAAGGAACCACAACATTGCGATCAAACCAAGTCCCCTATACCATCATACGAAAACAACCTGACTCATCCTTTCAGGAGTCTAATTTACATAAACACCACTCCCTATACAGTGCATTATCCTTTAACATATTTTGCGTATTTATCACATGGTTTAGTACTCTGTTCGGTCTTCCCTCTCTCGGCTTCCTGAAGGATATCCTAACAAGCCAGGTTTTGATTCAATCCAATTCCTCGTATGTTAGAGAGTCTGATCTCGCAGATGGTAAAAATTTGCCCATGAACTTTTCTACCATCATCATTAGCCCTTTAAAGTTATCTTTTTATAATCTATAATGTAAAAGCCGTGCAGCACATGCAACTCATCTGGTTAAGTAAACATCAAAGTCAAATCACAAACAGCCTCATGTGGACACGGAGGAGGGCTGCACTCCGACAAC